TCCCAACTTCATGGTGAGGCAACTGCTGAGCCACCTGACTGCAGCTTCCCTCCTGCCATGCATTCTCCAGAGCTCTCTGCTGCCACAGGTCCCAGGAGCTCTGCCACAGCCTGCCAGGAGCAGCCCAGGAACTGGGCTGATGCAACATCTGCGTTCTGCAGAAAAGCAGGGAAAGCAGATGTTGTGGACTCAGCCCAATCTCCTGACAGACAGTGAGCAGGAATTTTGAGGGGAAAGACCCTGGCAGAACATGCTTGTTGCATGTGGGCTTAGCTACAGGCAACCAAAGAAGATGCTGTTAAGTGTAGATCTAAAAATTCATTACTTGTCTAATCAATGTCTTAGTCTAAGCAGAATGCAACAACCTATTTAGTCTGGTTACTATATATGTACCTATAACCTAAATTACTTAATTATTGATAGGAATTAGCAAAAGCTAAAATTATTATATACATGTCTCCCAGAGCTGTGCCATGCGTTGGTGATGCTCCCCCATCCTGTGCAATGTTACGGGAGGCCATCAGCTTCTCAGATCCTTCACCTGGAGAAATATAACACTGTGTGTTAGGGAGGAGGGGATGGTCTTCCTCCATCGTTCTGAGTTTGCTCAGAATTATTTCTATGTGTCAATACTGTATTTCTGAATGGATTATAGTCTGCTGTTTGCCCACAAGCTTACATACACCATGATTCTTTCTCCTTATACAATATGATATCTTTTAAGGGGAAGATCCATGCAGTTGGACAAAATAATGCAAAGCTTAAACTAAAACACATTTGGGAATAATAGAGTTAAAACAAACACCAAATCCCCAGGATAGCGAGAGGCATTCGAACATTCAGTTATTTTGCTGTTACATCTAGGAGAGGCCAGACAATGGACCTCTGCTTCTTGGGAAAGTCATAGGCACAGGAAAGGCTCTTAAATAATTTTGAAGATGCAATTCAAAATCTTCCTGGAGCAGCTAATGTTATACAGCTTGAGGTCTAGCGCTAGCGTCATCAACAGCAATTTGGCTGGGCTACAGAGCTGCAAGCTAGGAGAAGAGTTGTTCTGACAGCCCTGTGGTCTCCAACAGTCCTGTGCTATCCACGGCAGTGCCGCTGGGGAACGGGGCTGCCCAGAGATGCAGATGTAGCATTCATGGTGCTACCATGCCTTCCCATCGGTGATGGGAGCAAGCACTGACCGCAGCGCAGGGAAACAGCTTGGACCTCAGGGCTGTGCGGGTACACTACATGGTGCCAGACAGGGCCTCGTGCCATACTTCACGTCCATGGAGAAACAATGACCAAGGCAATCAACTAATGTGCAGACCTGCTCCAGAGCTGCAGCCAGAAAGCTGGCTAGGTCTGGACAGACAAGCAGTGCCAGTGGGCAGGTGTAGCTGAGCCTCTTGGGGCTTCCCAAGAGCGAGTAGTCTTATGTTCTCATTTACAAGAGCTAACTGAGCAGGGTATTTATCTCTCACTTCCCAGTTTACCTCTCTTATATCACCTTTTTCTCTGTCCTTCAGGATTGCAGTCCCACAGTACTGTTCCAGCCTGTTGCGTTGTTAGTTTTTTGCATTGCTTGTAGGGTACGTGTTCTAGGAGTCCTACCACGTTGGTAAAGTGGCCTCAGTGATCCTCTCTTTCCCCAACCGTCACCTTTCCATGACGGGTGGTGAATCAGCATTGCCTCAAATGAGGAGAATTTAGTCAGAGGAAAACAGAGAAAAGTGGCCCAAATTCTGTCGTTGTTACATAAACCCCCTCGCTGAACATCTGGAGAACATCTGAACTTTAACAAAGCAGGCCCGCAGGCAGAGGCGTTTTTGACCTTCCCTGTAATGGAAGCACAAAAATTGAGCCTGAAAAGAGGGGAGTAAAGACAACCAGAAATGGAACACAAAATGGGTCCAACGTATTGGGGCCGACTTTGGCCCCAACATCTGACAAGGGGTCCTGCAATCCTACCTGGACAGTGCACGAGTGTGAGGAGAGATAAGGCAACACCCCAGACACAAGGCATTGGGCACTGCTGAAAAAATCCCTGTGGTCCCTGTGTTCTGGGAAAGACAGCTCTTCACCAGGCTCTGTTTCAAACTTTGTTTCTTCTGGGCAAACTGGAATTTAAAGGGAATGTTCAGATTTTTTCTCATGGGTAAAACTGACAAACACTTCCAGAACTGAGGTTTGGATACTGACAATTTTTGCTGGTGTGGGATTTTCTTCCACTTTCAGCAAAGGGAAGAAGCAAGGGCATGGTTGGGGGTGGAGGGAAAGCGCATGGAAGCAGGAAAAAAATCCCTCCTATCACCTGCTTTTTTTAGCAAAACACTGTAAACCAGCCCAAAGTCAGAGAGCACTTTCTCCAGGTGTCTTTTGCATCCCTACATTTGACATGGCACAGCTTGGTGGGGGGGGGGGGGGGCGCATATCCCGGGAGGGTGCAGGAGCAGCCTCCTTTTCCCACTCCCTCTCGCTGGCCAGGCAGCCTCAGCAGTAGGTGTGTAGCCCAGGTGCTTGTCCATACCCTGTTCCCTTCCATTGTGGCTGATTCATGCCAAGGACTGCAGTGGGCCATTAAGAAATATTTCTTTAGCTATAACAATAATCGCCTTTATTAGGGCAGACGTGAAGGCATTTTTTCCTAACTTTCTGTGGAAAGTGGGACATCTGATACAAACTGCAGCCACCCACAGAGCCTGCCCAGAGGTGCTCCTCAGACTTTCCAGCTGTGAGTGAGGTGTCCCCAGTGCTGTGGGACAGCCAGGGAGCCCAACTAGCATCTCAACTGAGACTCTTGGCTAGGAGAGCGCATGACTGAGGGGAGGATGTCAGACAAGGGGGAAGCAAGACAGTGCCTCTGCAGAAACGGGACCTGAATGTGGTCCGTTGTCTGGGGAGCAAGTGACGTCATGTGCATCCACTGTGAAAGGTTGCAACAAGCCCCTGGGACATACAGGTATGGCCTCGGAACTTCCCAAGGACAAGCACCTCTTAGAGCTGTCTTAGGACACGAAACAAAGGTTTGGGGAACCCTAAGCCTGGCAAAGCTTGATACCTCCACCACTAGCCCTATCTGCAGAGCAGGCTCCCCACGTGCCTGGGAAATGAGGTATGAAGGAGAGACGCTGAACATAAGCAGAAAGCAAACACAGCTTACCTCTTCACCTGGTGGTCACCATGCCTCTGCACATGGTCTTCTGGAAACAACAGGATGTACCTGTGTAGGTTGGGTTTTTTTTGCAACTAGGAGGCAAATGGACGCTGCTTAAGCATTTCCCATCCTTTGGGAGCTCAATGTTCTTCTCATACAATTTTTAATGCACTATTTAATAGATTAAGAGAATTCACAGTATTTCTCAAATCCACAGCATTCAATAATAGCCAGATTTGTGATGCAAAAGCACTAGATCTCTTTTCTTCTATTCCTTACAGTTTTATGTGGGAAGTTCTGCTGAAGCCTTCCCAGATTCCAGCAACCTCAGTTTTACCAAGTGACATTTTGAATTTCAAGAGCTCCGAATGTTCAAGTCAGACAAACTTCCAATGAGATTGTGGAAAACAATTTATTTGACAAATTTATGAAGTGGACAATTTTAGTAGAACACAGGCATAAAATAAAACTAACTCATACAATGGATTTTTGGATACAAGGTAAAGAGTTTGGGATGCCGATACCTGGCAATCACTGTTGCTTTCTCAGAAGCGCATGAATTCATAGCAAGAGCACCAATGGAAGCACTGAAACAAAATCTCACCTAGCCAAACCACAGCTTCAGTGTGGTCCTGGAAACAACTGTGTAAACACCAAGGGCCCGTATCACCCATGTAGTGATAGCACCTTTGCCAGTATATCCGTAGGGTGTGAGTCAAAGACCCTGGCAGATAATGGCAGCCTTTCCCTTGAATTTACTGAGCTGTGGATGAGGCCCTAATTCAATATACAATACAGTTAGTGGGTTTCCCTAGGGCCCAGGTGCCTAACTCTGAGATGGTCCTATAGAAACAGTATGTCCAGAGAGCTCACTGGGAATTAGACAGCTTGACGCTTTCAAAAAAAAAAAAAAAAAAAAAAATTAAAAAAAATCCCACTAACTGGGCTCAGAGAGATTTTCCAGAATGGAGCTTGGACCATAATGCAAGTCGTCAGGTTATTCATGAGGTTCCTGGTTTCACTGTAGGACCATGAGATCAGTTAGTGAAGAAGTGCAGTTACGTAGCTTCTTCTAGAGCTTCCCTTCTCCCCAGTGGCTGCTGTCCATCTTTCATTTGGTTGGTGCCCAGCCCCCTGGCCTTGAATGGGAGTGTCAGTGATGAGGGATGCTCCACCACCCACTTCCACCCCAGCCCTGGGAAGTCAGTGCCCCATCCCATGGCATGAGGCCAGAGATGCTTCAACTCAGCTTGGATAATGAAGTCCAGCCCTCCTCCCTGGGCATGGGAGGTATGAACCAAACCTGCCAGTCATGACAACGATCCCCTCTCAAAGCTTGCTGAAGTGTTGAACGTTTCACTTGAAGCACAGCATTGGATTAGGACCCTTGTGAGCTGGGCAAGTGCTCAGATGATGTATGAAGGAAAGAGGCAAATGAACAAAAAAACCCTGTATCTGGAAAGAGCATAATTAGCCTTATGAGAATAGGCTAGTCCTTAGTGGTACGAAATTCCTCATCCTGATTCTTTCTCGGCAAAAAACAGCGGTATGAGGTTGCTATTGGTGTTCGGGCAGCTTATTGCTAGGTGTGTTTGTGTTTGCCTGCTGTGTGCAGGGAGAGGCAGTCATGAGCAGAGGGGGAGGTTTGAGGCTGAGAGTAGAGATGCAGATGATAAAGCAGGGGGAGAAGGAAGGGGACTATGCACAGCCAGGCTGTGGCACTATGGCTATCTGCATAGACGCAAATCCCTCAAGTTGGTCAAGAATACTGTTAATTAAAAAAATTGTTTTGTTGGTTTTCATTTTTAGATGAGACAGAAGCAGGCACAGCCTTAGCAGAAACCCACACAGATGCTCAGTCAACAGCTATCTTCCTAGAGACAGTTTGGTAGAAGACACCACGTAGCAGAGAGGTATAGTCAGGCACACGGAAGAGATGGCGCTCCCCATAGACCACATCGTAGTCTGCGCTCTTCCCCGTGACCAGGACACGGATGTTGGGCTCGTTGGCTTGGCTACCCACCGCCAGCACATAGATCTCAATGCCAGCTTGCTGAGCTTCCTGCACGACCCTCTCAATGGCCCTCGGGGTGATCCCTTGAGAGTTGCCATCGGAAAACACCAGCACCCTCTTCTTCGCCGCAGCACGGGAAGACCGCTGGTACAGCCCTGTGATGTACCGCAGAGCAGCATTGACATCCGTGGCATCGTTAATGAACTCCATGTTGTCAATGGCTTTGGCAATGACCGTGTAGTTGTACTGGAACTGAGCTTCCACTTTCTGCTGGTTCCTACCACTGTACTGGACCACTGAGACACGCACAAAATCATCGGCAGGCTTGCCAGCCCCCCGCAACCCCCCCTCC